AAAAACGACTCAATTGGCAAATGTTAAATAAAAATGTTTTAGATCGTTTTGACCTTCATTTATCTGAAATGATTATTAATGATCTTTCTAATGCAAAATTACGTACAATAGAAATTTTATTATTTTATTTAAGATTAAAAATAAATGAAGAAATTCAATTGAGACAAGAGCATCAAGCGTTATTATCATTAAGTACTGTTGATTCATTAAACGATAAGAAATCAATTCTTCCAAAACGAACAAGTCGAAATGGTCAACTAACAGAAAATATTACAAGTAAATCAACTTATCGGTCTACTTATGAACAATTACGAAAACAATGCTTAAAACAACAAGAAGATATTGAAATACTTCAAATGAAAATACATCGATTAGAAAGAGTTACACAACTCAAAGATAATCGTATTAATGAACTTTCAAGAACTATTCAAGATTGTCCACATATTAGATCGAATACTGTCATAAATAACAAATTTAAAAAGACATAATATTTAATTATTTATTCACGTTTTTTTTTTCATTTTAATAATCATATTCTATCATTAATAAATCTCGTGTAGAAAGATTGAAAATTCTTCATTTATTTTGATTGTATGTCTATTGTTAGTATGAAGAAAAGAGGAGAATGGATAAACTAATTGTTTTTCTTTCTATTTTATATTAACATGACGTTATTTTTGTTCATTTTGAACAGAACGACGAACAATTATATCAGTCGATATTAACTTCACGTGTAGTTTTTATTTTCTTTCGATTCTTTGCTGACCATTATTCACACTTTAAGAATAACATTTAAATTTCTAGATTTGATATGTTTGTTACTTAAATTTCTTGATTATTTTAAATGGAATTCTCAAATGAAATCTTATATAACGATAAAAATTATTGTCAAAATCCATATCAATTACCTCCTTGTCATGCTCGTCAATATTTAATGTGTCCACACTGTTCATTTCATCTTTGTTTTGAACATGGTCAACAACATCAAGAACAAATTCAAAATGAAACATATTTTCTTTATAATCGAGCAAAAAATTTAGAAAAAACAATCAATGAATATCAACCAGTTCAAATAATAATTGAACAAGTATTTAATTCCTTAAATGAATGGAAACAAAAAATGTATCATTTTATTGATCAATATAGTGAACAAATTCAAATACATATTGAACAAGCACAAAATCGTTTAAATGATCAATGGAATCTAACTAAAGAAGAATATTTACATATATTAGAAAACTTTATATTTGAACCTATGAATCAATTATTAAAAAGTATTATTATAAAGAAATAAATTTGAAAAAGAATTTTATTCTCTTATAATTTTAGCACCAAAACAAATTCATCCAGATGAAATTCGTCATGTTCATACTCGTTTAATTTATCTTCAAAGTCAAATAACAAATTTATTAACATATCGTGATCTTCTTCGTATTAATTTTGATTCATGTTCATTAACTGGTGATATTAATATATCTCGTGGTCATTTTCCAAAACCAACAATAAATTCAATTGAAAATATTCCTCAATTAGATCAAATTAATTTACTTTATCGTTTTGATACATTATCAACAGAGACATCACCTTTAGCAATCTCTTCTTCTCAAATATTAATAACATGGTTAAAACCAAGTACTTTACTTATTTTTGATATTGAACAAGGTTTAATTAAACGTATCGATGTTGAACCATCATTTTTATCAATTAATGATATTATCTGGTGTGATTATTTAAATAATTTTCTTATTGCTGGTGCAGCTCTACATACGTTTGATATAAATAATTATGAAGTTAAACAAATTTTCACACCACAAAATCCACAAATATGGTCAATAACTACATATAAGTAAATAACATTATAAAAATTACATATCTCTACTTATATTTATATTTTTTTTGAATAATAGGACAAATTTGTTTATATGTTATGTAATGGGTGAATCATCACTTATTGAACATCGTTCATTACCATCATTTCGTACAATTCAAACATATACTCGTACACAAGTATTACCAACGAATTCAAACTCAATTATTGAAATAGCTCGTTGTATTCGAACAAATGGTTCTCATATAGCAATGACAGTTCGAAATTTAACAACATTTGAATGGCGTGTTGATATATTTAATTTTCATATGCAACGATTATTTAAAGGTGAAATTTTTGGATATGCAGCACAATCGAATTATTGGTGTTGTTTATTAACATCTTATCAATTTTCACATTGGTTAATTATAAATAATACATCCGAACAAGAAACATTAACTTTAATTGATAAACATGCACATATTAAACAACAAATTAAACAAGAAG